AATGACAATGACAATGATAATGACAATGATAATAATAATAATATCTCGCGCCCTACTAATTTGGGAGACAATTTTAATGTGTTAGGGCTATCAGACTTCAGCTCATGGTTATGTGATATATTATATAATATATAACCGGTTTTGTGATATATTATGTAACCATGAGCTGAAGGCCGATATGGTTTATTTTTACATCGGGGAGGTTTTCTGAATAACAAACTAGCAAAGTTATGCATCTTTAACAATATTTAATGTGGCAGAAGAGTTGCTTAAATTATGTGTTTTTGCAGATGAAACTTCAGGAGCCACTAAGAATGGACAACGTACAAAAGAAACGTCAGTTGAAAATTAATTTTCTCAATTGTGTTCAAAAATGTCAAAAAGTGATATATTGCCAATCACATTACCTTTACGGTAATATACTACAACAAAAACCTAGCGGCCATGGGTTCTCTGTGCTTTTACACTCCATGTTATGTCTTGATGAGCATGCATACTTTATAATTGAGACACCCACATGGGCTATTGCATGAACCTTAAATACCTCACATGTTGTTTCACTGAAATCTTATTTGGGGGCAGGGTCAGTGTATAAAGTAACATCCCTTGTGTGTACTTACACTGACCCATTGCCATGCGCAAACCCCTGTTAATTAAATGTGCAGGGAAATAGACATTAGATGCAAGGGGAATATGACATATATGTCATATTCCAATTGCATTCTAATGTCTATATTCCCCCTGCATATTTAATTAGTTCGTTAGCCCCAAATCTTCCATGAAATATTTCAAAGCCGCCCCCGTCTTTGAGATACTTGGGAATAATTTTGGCAAGGGGTTATGTGATATACTAGCTCAACCGAGAAGAGCAATGAAAACCTGATGTAAAAATAAAATAAAATAAAGCATACTTATCATACATGATGTATACAAAATATACAATGATGATTCCCTTAGAGGACACCAATGGAAAAAGTGATGCATGCAGTACACTGTAGGTAGCATCATGTAATACACCGTTTGCAAGATTCGTTGTTAATATAGTGCCAACTATCAGAGTCCATTTTTTTTATACTCTGAGTGGGCGAGAGCGTATCACATGAACATGAACAAGTTTTGATGTTTTCACGGCAACAGGCAACAATAAGTTGTTGGCTGGCGGTAATAATACCAGAAGTGATTTTCCCAGGAATGTAATTTTTTCTAAGTTTTTGRAAATCAAAAAATCAAAAAATCAAATAACTGCTTTTTTTTCTTTGACAATTGGTATACTTGACAATTAAAACACTTATTGACATGAACCTTTTGAAAGCACTGAGTTTTGTGGTCCCTCRACAACAATGTTTCCCTCGGCTTAGCCTCGTGAAACACGACCATCTCAGGACCATAAAACACACTGCTTCCCTCGGTCCCAGTCATGTACATGACCAAAGGAGATGTACATGTAATAAGGAAATGTGGACAATTTATTAATTAAAGCATATATATTCATGAGAATTGATGTAGAGTTATATTGCATAACAAGCTACACTCCTGCAATCTCTCGTAGCTCCTTCTAGAGATTTTGCACCCCCCAAATCTCTGAAAATGTTTTTCAAACCCCCGATTTTAATGGTAAAAATGTTTCTGGTTCCCCCTAAATTTCACCTGCGCCCCCCCTCCTCTGCCATGCATTATGAACGCAGCCTTACATTACTTTATTACATCTCTTTAATAATTTAAAGTATTTGCTATGAGCTTTTTACTATAAAAATATGCTTGGATATGAAAATCAAGACTGATTTTTTTACCTTGATTATAAAGCTCAGTAACACCACTGAATTCATTTTTGAACCTTACAGCAATCCCTTTGCCCATCTTAACATCAGCACTAATGCAGTGAGCCAGGGAGTGAGTTTTAGGACATGTAAACAAATCACCGTTGACCTCTTTTATGTTATCAGGAGATGAATGTCTTGATTCAGGGGCAGACTGAAATTATAAAAAAGTGGCAGAAGAAATTATTCTGGCAATAAATAGGTATGGAATTTGCATGATGACATTTTACTATCACTACTGTACATCATACCAAATACTTTAAGAATATCTTCTCTATAATGTAAATGGCCTGATTCTGATGACCTTTTTAGCTTGAGCATATTAATGTTTTAGGTCATTTCCTTGAGAATAAAATTCTGTCATCCAYGTGTCTTCTGATATGTAACCATTAACATAGAAATTATACTGTATTCTAGTGGAATGAAAGGCTTGGAATAGTAAAACAGTATCTAACTTAAAGGGTGTATTGAATTGAATTTTTAGTTGGTACCTTAAGTGTGTTATCAGCCATATTATTGGTTTTCAATCTTTTGTTGTTTTGTTCT